TACTCTGTAGGATGGTACACTGTAGGATGGTACACTGTAGGATGGTACACTGTAGGGTGGTACTCTGTAGGATGGTACACTGTAGGATGGTACACTGTAGGATGGTACACTGTAGGATGGTACACTGTAGGATGGTACTCTGTAGGATGGTACACTGTAGGATGGTACAGTGTAGGATGATACACTGTAGGATGGTACACTGTAGGATGGTACACTGTAGGATGGTACACTGTAGGATGGTACACTGTAGGATGGTACTCTAGGATGGTACACTGTAGGGTGGTACACTGTAGGATGGTACACTGTAGGGTGGTACACTGTAGGATGGTACACTGTAGGGTGGTACACTGTAGGATGGTACACACTTTCCATGAGTGTATTGAGTGTACTCACCAAGTTATACTCACCAGGTGTGATTGCGGGATCGAGTATCTGCTCTTAATCTCCCCCTACTGTCGACTATTACTTGCTCAATGATGTGGCTCATTTTCACTCATTTTTTTTACTCATTTTATCACTCATTTCTACATTCAAAAGTGTGTATCGAATTGGCATCAACAACTGCCTTGTTAAGTCCTGTCCGCTCGGGAGTCTATTGACTTTCTGGCAGCTCTTTGAGTGATCTATGTTTCCTGTTTCCAAATATGTCCTTCTCTTCTACTGTTCCTTGGATGAGTGGGTGTTTTTTTTATGGATGTGTGTGTCAGATTTTATGTTTGTCCTTGCAGGTGCCGCTGTTGTTTCACAATTTGTGTGTGTCTCAGGAGAAGGTTAGGTATTGTTTCTATCTATATGCCGTTTCCCCCCCAAGATAATACCTTGCTTGTAGACTAGATTTCTATTTTCGTTACACTTGTAGGAATTCAACTCTATTAACCACCTGTTAGACGGCTTATGGAATTTGTCAGTCATTCTGAAGTTTCTTCCAAGTGACTAACACCTGAATTCCCACATTAGTGTCACGTTACTATATAAATCAGTACCTGCCTACAAATCTGTTGTTGGTTCCGAGGATCAACGTCCCCGCGGCCCGGTCTCTGACCAGGCCTCCTGGTTGGTCTGGTAAACCATGTGTGTGTTGTTTGGTAGATCGTTTATTTTACCTGAAATAGGGTACGGGGTTTGTGTAGGAGGGAAGGAGGGGGGGGGGGGGAAAGAAGGTATACTTACCTAGTTATACCTGCAGGATCGAGCTTTAACTCTTGGACCCCGTGTGTAGTGTGTGTATACTCACCTATTTGTACTCGCCTATTTGTGCTTGCTGGGGTTGAGCTCTGGCTCTTTGGTCCCGCCTCTCAACCGTCAATCAACTGGTGTACAGGTTCCCGAGCCTACTGGGCTCTATCATATCTACACTTGAAACTGTGTATGGAGTCAGCCTCCACCACATCACTTCCTAATGCATTCCATTTGTCAACCACTCTGACACTAAAAAAGTTCTTTCTAATATCTCTGTAGCTCATTTAGGCACTCAGTTTCCACCTGTGTCCCCTAGTGTGTGTGCCCCTTGTGTTAAATAGCCTGTCTTTATCTACCCTGTCGATTCCCTTGAGAATCTTGAATGTGGTGATCATGTCCCCCCTAACTCTTCTGTCTTCCAACGAAGTGAGGTTTAATTCCCGTACGTGTGTGTGTGTGTGTGTGTGTGTACTTACCTAATTGTGCTTGCGGGGGTTGAGCTTTGACTCTTTGGTCAAAGTCAAAGTCAAACTCTCAACTGTCAATCAACTAGTGTACAGATTCCTGAGCCTACTGGGCTCTATCATATCTACATTTGAAACTGTGTATGGAGTCAGCCTCCACCACATCACTGCCTAATGCATTCCATTTACTAACTACTCTGACACTGAAAAAGTTCCTTCTAACGTCTCTGTGGCTCATTTGGGTACTCAGTTTCCACCTGTGTCCCCTTGTTCGCGTACCGCCAGAGTTGAATAGTTTATCCTTGTCTGCCATGCCAATTCCTTAAACAGAGGCTACAATTAAGGATTTGCGCCCAGTAAATTCTCCCCGGCCAGGATACGAACCCATGACAAAGCTCTCGCGGAACACCAGGCGAGTGTCTTACCACTACACCACGAAGACTGGTCTTGGTCTTTGTGTGTGTGTGTGTGTGTGTGTGTGTGTGTGTGTGTGGCGTGAGGGTAGGGTTGGGATGTGTAAAAAAGTAGCTTTCCTAAGCATTACCTTCGAGCATGTCGGTCTGTCAGGGATAGAAAAGAGCGCATTAGCCGCTCTGTAATTACCAGGGTAGGTACTGGAGCCGAGAGGCGTGTCCTCCAAGGCACCCGGGAGGCCAGCTGTCTCCAAGTCAACACGTTCAACCATCTGGCTAAGCATGTTGGGCACTTGTGGCAAACCTGTCAAGTACACCTGCTGTCCAAAGATGAGTACAGTTGCTGTCCAAAGATGACTACAGCTGCTGTCCAAAGATGAGTACAGTTGCTGTCCAAAGATGAGTACAGCTGCTGTCCAAAGATGAGTACAGCTGCTGTCCAAAGATGACTACAGCTGCTGTTCAAAGATGAGTACAGCTGCTGTCCAAAGATGACTACAGCTGCTGTCCAAAGATGAGTACAGTTGCTGTCCAAAGATGAGTACAGCTGCTGTCCAAAGATGAGTACAGCTGCTGTCCAAAGATGACTACAGCTGCTGTCCAAAGATGAGTACAGCTGCTGTCCAAAGATGAGTACAGCTGCTGTCCAAAGATGAGTACAGCTGCTGTCCAAAGATGAGTACAGCTGCAATCCAAAGATGAGTACAGCCAACAGCATCTTTATCTAGTGTACATCTATTGATAAATAATTCTGTACCAGGGGTTTAGAGAACAGGTCAGCCATCATTACAGCAAGCAAGTCAGTTTTTGTTTTCACAAAGAGGTTACCCTTTAGGGCACTCATACGTGTTCCTCTACCAAATAAATCATCTACCTCTACCTTCGTCTACCTTGTATGGGCTTTAGTGAACACAATGGCAGACAGTGGAAACTGTAGATGACTTATTTGGCTCATGCCAGGCAGCTAGTGTGTGTGTATAGGAAGCAAATTCATTCCTCTTGAAATTATAGTACTCTCACTAACTAGTCAAAAGTACCAATATGTAGTGACGGACCTCGACAAAGTAGACTTTTGTTGTACTTTTTAATTTTGTAGAGTCTGGGGGGGGGGAAGATAGAGCAAGACTTAAACATTCCTAGGCCTATCATATTAACATATGTGTACTATACTAAGCCTAAAATAGCATATATTATTCCTAAGATTGGCACTAGTGGTTAGGTTAGGCTCGAAGTGTATAATTTAATCGCAACATAAATATAGGTTCTATATTTATGTTGCAATTACAAAAGTTTATGCCTCGGCTAAATTCATTAACACAAAAGTGAACTTTCTTGTTGTCCATCAGTACATATATATGTACTTTTAACTGGTGTACAGGTTCCTGAGCCTACTGGGCTCTATCATATCTATATTTGAAACTGTGTATGGAGTCTATGTGTGTATGTGTGTTGTGTATGTGTGTGTGTGTGTGTGTTGTGTATATGTGTGTGTGTGTGTGTTGTGTATGTGTGTGTGTGTGTGTGTTGTGTATATGTGTGTGTGTGTGTGTGTGTGTGTGTGTGTGTGTGTGTGTGTGTGTGTGTGTGTGTGTGTGTGTGTGTGTGTGTGTGTGTGTGTTGTGTATGTGTGTGTGTGTGTGTGTGTGTGTGTGTGTGTGTGTGTGTGTGTGTGTGTAGTGTATGTGTGTGTGTGTTGTGTATGTATATTTACCTAAGTGTAGTTACAGGATGAGAGCTACGCTCGTGGTGTCCCGTCTTCCCAGCACTCTTTGTCGTATAAAGCTTTGAAACTACTGACGGTCTTGGCCTCCACCACCTTCTCACTTAACTTGTTCCAACCGTCTACCACTCTGTTTGCGAAAGCGAATTTTCTTATATTTCTTCGGCATCTGTGTTTAGCTAGTTTAAATCTATGACCTCTTGTTCTTAAAGTTCCAGGTCTCAGGAAATCTTCCCAATCGATTTTATCAATTCCTGTTACTATTTTGTATGTAGTGATCATATCACCTCTTTTTCTTCTGTCTTCTAGTTTTGGCATATTTAATGCCTCTAACCTCTCCTCGTAGCTCTTGCCCTTCAGTTCTGGGAGCACTTAGTAGGATGTCTTTGCACCTTTTCCAGTTTGTTGATGTGTTTCTTAAGATATGGGCACCACACAACCGCTGCATATTCAACCAACCGCTGCATAACCGCAAAAGTCGTGAACAATTTCTTAAGTATATCGCCATCCATGTATTTAAAAGCAATTCGGAAGTTAGAAAGCGTGGCATAGGCTCCTCGCATAATATTCTTTATGTGGTCCTCAGGTGATAGTTTTCTATCTAGTATCTAGTGTGTGTGTGTGTGTGTGTGTGTGTGTGTGTGTGTGTGTGTGTGTGTGTGTGTGTGTGTGTGTGTGTGTGTGTGTGTGTGTGTGTGTGTGTATGTGTGTGTGTGTGTGTGTGTGTGTGTGTGTGTGTGTGTGTGTGTGTGTGTGTGTGTATGTGTGTGTGTGTGTGTGTGTGTGTGTGTGTCAATGCCAGTAACAATCGTCGGGCGACAACATCAAATAACAATACCACGAGGACCCCCCATTCACCTGATTATCAAAACACAATCAGTTCATCACAGGGCAGAGGTCTGTCACTGATTGTGTCATGTCTGTCACGCGGTGTCATCTTCCTGTCACTGTGTGTGTGTGTGTGTGTGTGTGTGTGTGTGTGTGTGTGTGTGTGTGTGTGTGTGTGTGTGTGTGTGTGTCATTCCCATCCCTCTGGCTGTTCCATCTCTAACATCGAACCTGTTTACGTAATTCGACGGGACAATTACGCTCCAATTCCACGGAAATTGGGTGGTTTTCTCCTCTTTGTTTCGTGATAATTTGCGGAAATGAAAGTCCATGTTTCGTAAATGGTGACCATTTAGCGAGTGTTTTGTGAGGGGGGAAAAATAGGTTTTAAGGGAAATGGGGTGGTGGAGGGAAGCTGGGCTCACATTGGACGGAGGAAGTCAAGGGCAGCAGTTTGGACGGAGGAAGTCAAGGGCAGCAGTTTGGACGGAGGAAGTCAAGGGCAGCAGTTTGGACGGAGGAAGTCAAGGGCAGCAGTTTGGACGGAGGAAGTCAAGGGCAGCAGTTTGGACGGAGGAAGTCAAGGGCAGCAGTTTGGACGGTGGAAGTCAAGGGCAACAGTTTGGACGGAGGAAGTCAAGGGCAGCAGTTTGGACGGTGGAAGTCAAGGGCAGCAGTTTGGACGGAGGAAGTCAAGGGCAGCAGTTTGGACGGTGGAAGTCAAGGGCAGCAGTTTGGACGGTGGAAGTCAAGGGCAGCAGTTTGGACGGAGGAAGTCAAAGGCAACAGTTTGGACGGAGGAAGTCAAGGGCAGCAGTTTGGACGGTGGAAGTCAAGGGCAACAGTTTGGACGGAGGAAGTCAAGGGCAGCAGTTTGGACGGTGGAAGTCAAGGGCAGCAGTTTGGACGGAGGAAGTCAAGGGCAGGAGTTTAGACGGAGGAAGTTAAGGGCAGCAGTTTGGACGGAGGAAGTCAAGGGCGGCAGTGTGGACGGAGGAAGTCAAGGGCAGCAAGTTGGACGGAGGAAGTCAAGGGCAGCAAGTTGGGCGGAGGAAGTCAAGGGCAGCAGTTTGGACGGAGGAAGTCAAGGGCAGCAGTTTGGACAGTGGAAGTCAAAGGCAACAGTTTGGACGGTGGAAGTCAAGGGCAGCAGTTTGGACGATGGAAGTCAAGGGCAGCAGTTTGGACGGAGGAAGTCAAGGGCAACAGTTTGGACGGTGGAAGTCAAGGGCAGCAGTTTGGACGGTGGAAGTCAAGGGCAACAGTTTGGACGGAGGAAGTCAAGCGCAGCAGTTTGGACGGTGGAAGTCAAGGGCAGCAGTTTGGACGGAGGAAGTCAAGGGCAGGAGTTTAGATGGAGGAAGTCAAGGGCAGCAGTTTGGACGGAGGAAGTCAAGGGCGGCAGTGTGGACGGAGGAAGTCAAGGGCAGCAAGTTGGACGGAGGAAGTCAAGGGCAGCAAGTTGGGCGGAGGAAGTCAAGGGCAGCAGTTTGGACGGAGGAAGTCAAGGGCAGCAGTTTGGGCGGAGGAAGTCAAGGGCAACAGTTAGGACGGAGGAAGTCAAGGGCAGCAGTTTGGACGGAGGAAGTCAAGGGCAGCAGTTTGGACGGTGGAAGTCAAGGGCAACAGTTTGGACGGAGGAAGTCAAGGGCAGCAGTTTGGACGGTGGAAGTCAAGGGCAGCAGTTTGGACGGAGGAAGTCAAGGGCAGCAGTTTGGATGGTGTAAGTCAAGGGCAGCAGTTTGGACAGTGGAAGTCAAGTGCAACAGTTTGGACGGTGGAAGTCAAGGGCAGCAGTTTGGACGGTGGAAGTCAAGGGCAGCAGTTTGGACGGTGGAAGTCAAGGGCAGCAGTTTGGACGGAGGAAGTCAAGGGCAACAGTTTGGACGGAGTAAGTCAAGGGCAGCAAATTGGACGGATGAAGTCAAGGGCAACAGTTTGGACGGAGGAAGTCAAGGGCAGCAGTTTGGACGGAGGAAGTCAAGGGCAGCAGTTTGGACAGAGGAAGTCAAGGGCAACAGTTTGGACGGAGGAAGTCAAGGGCAGCAGTTTGGACGGAGGAAGTCAAGGGCAGCAGTTTGGACGGTGGAAGTCAAGGGCAACAGTTTGGACGGAGGAAGTCAAGGGCAGCAGTTTGGACGGTGGAAGTCAAGGGCAGCAGTTTGGACGGAGGAAGTCAAGGGCAGCAGTTTGGACGGTGTAAGTCAAGGGCAGCAGTTTGGACAGTGGAAGTCAAGTGCAACAGTTTGGACGGTGGAAGTCAAGGGCAGCAGTTTGGACGGAGGAAGTCAAGGGCAGCAGTTTGGACGGTGTAAGTCAAGGGCAGCAGTTTGGACAGTGGAAGTCAAGTGCAACAGTTTGGACGGTGGAAGTCAAGGGCAGCAGTTTGGACGGTGGAAGTCAAGGGCAGCAGTTTGGACGGTGGAAGTCAAGGGCAGCAGTTTGGACGGAGGAAGTCAAGGGCAACAGTTTGGACGGAGTAAGTCAAGGGCAGCAAATTGGACGGATGAAGTCAAGGGCAACAATTTGGACGGAGGAAGTCAAGGGCAGCAGTTTGGACGGAGGAAGTCAAGGGCAGCAGTTTGGACGGAGGAAGTCAAGGGCAACAGTTTGGACGGAGGAAGTCAAGGGCAGCAGTTTGGACGGTGGAAGTCAAGGGCAACAGTTTGGACGGAGGAAGTCAAGGGCAGCAGTTTGGACGGTGGAAGTCAAGGGCAGCAGTTTGGACGGAGGAAGTCAAGGGCAGCAGTTTGGACGGTGTAAGTCAAGGGCAGCAGTTTGGACAGTGGAAGTCAAGTGCAACAGTTTGGACGCTGGAAGTCAAGGGCAGCAGTTTGGACGGTGGAAGTCAAGGGCAGCAGTTTGGACGGAGGAAGTCAAGGGCAACAGTTTGGACGGTGGAAGTCAAGGGCAGCAGTTTGGACGGTGGAAGTCAAGGGCAACAGTTTGGACGGAGGAAGTCAAGGGCAGCAGTTTGGACGGTGGAAGTCAAGGGCAGCAGTTTGGACGGAGGAAGTCAAGGGCAGGAGTTTAGACGGAGGAAGTCAAGGGCAGCAGTTTGGACGGAGGAAGTCAAGGGCGGCAGTGTGGACGGATTAAGTCAAGGGCAGCAAGTTGGACGGAGGAAGTCAAGGGCAATAGTTTGGACGGAGGAAGTCAAGGGCAACAGTTTGGACGGAGGAAGTCAAGGGCAGCAGTTTGGACGGAGGAAGTCAAGGGCAGCAAGTTGGGCGGAGGAAGTCAAGGGCAGCAGTTTGGACGGAGGAAGTCAAGGACAGCAGTTTGGACAGTGGAAGTCAAGGGCCACAGTTTGGACGTTGGAAGTCAAGGGCAGCAGTTTGGACGGTGGAAGTCAAGGGCAGCAGTTTGGACGGAGGAAGTCAAGGGCAACAGTTTGGACGGTGGAAGTCAAGGGCAGCAGTTTGGACGGTGGAAGTCAAGGGCAACAGTTTGGACGGAGGAAGTCAAGGGCAGCAGTTTGGACGGTGGAAGTCAAGGGCAGCAGTTTGGACGGAGGAAGTCAAGGGCAGCAGTTTGGACGGTGGAAGTCAAGGGCAACAGTTTGGACGGAGGAAGTCAAGGGCAGCAGTTTGGACGGTGGAAGTCAAGGGCAGCAGTTTGGACGGAGGAAGTCAAGGGCAGGAGTTTAGACGGAGGAAGTCAAGGGCAGCAGTTTGGACGGAGGAAGTCAAGGGCGGCAGTGTGGACGGAGGAAGTCAAGGGCAGCAAGTTGGATGGAGGAAGTCAAGGGCAGCAAATTGGACGGAGGAAGTCAAGGGCAGCAAGTTGGGCGGAGGAAGTCAAGGGCAGCAGTTTGGACGGAGGAAGTCAAGGGCAGCAGTTTGGACGGAGGAAGTCAAGGGCAGCAGTTTGGACGGTGGAAGTCAAGGGCAGCAGTTTGGACGGAGGAAGTCAAGGGCAACAGTTTGGACGGAGGAAGTCAAGGGCAGCAGTTTGGACGGAGGAAGTCAAGGGCAGCAGTTTGGACGGAGGAAGTCAAGGGCAGCAGTTTGGACGGAGGAAGTCAAGGGCAACAGTTTGGACGGAGGAAGTCAAGGGCAGCAGTTTGGACGGAGGAAGTCAAGGGCAGCAGTTTGGACGGAGGAAGTCAAGGGCAACAGTTTGGACGGAGGAAGTCAAGGGCAGCAGTTTGGACGGAGGAAGTCAAGGGCAGCAGTTTGGACGGAGGAAGTCAAGGGCAGCAGTTTGGACGGAGTAAGTCAAGGGCAACAGTTTGGACGGAGAAAGTCAAGGGCAACAGTTTGGACGGAGGAAGTCAAGGGCAACAGTTTGGACGGAGGAAGTCAAGGGCAGCAGTTTGGACGGAGGAAGTCAAGGGCAGCAGTTTGGACGGAGTAAGTCAAGGGCAACAGTTTGGACGGAGGAAGTCAAGGGCAACAGTTTGGACGGAGGAAGTCAAGGGCAACAGTTTGGACGGAGGAAGTCAAGGGCAACAGTTTGGACGGAGGAAGTCAAGGGCAACAGTTTGGATGGAGGAAGTCAAGGCGGCACATTATTTGGTGATATAGAAGGATGACGGTGCTAATTCTCCTGCCCTCTCGCTAAATCTCCTTCTCGCTAAATCTTCCTCTCGCTAAATCTCCCTCTCGCTAAATCTCCCTCTCGCTAAATCTCCCTCTCGCTAAATCTCCCTCTCGCTAAATCTCCCTCTCGCTACCTCTCCCTCTCGCTAAATATCCCTCTCGCTAAATCTCCCTCTCGCTAAATCTCCCTCTCGCTAAATCTCCCTCTCACTAAATCTCGCTCTCGCTACCTCTCCCTCTCGCTAAATCTCCCTCTCGCTACCTCTCCCTCTCGCTAAATCTCCCTCTCGCTAAATCTCCCTCTTGCTAAATCTCCTTCTCGCTAAATCTCCCTCTCGCTAAATCCCCCTCTCGCTAAATCTCGCTTCACAGACTATTCTCTCCTTGTAGAGTTGGTTTAGTTTGATAATTCTCATTGTTGGGGACAGGAAGCCTGTACTTATGGATATCGAGGCTCTACCCCCCCCCTCCCCTTCCCTAGACCAACTACTGCCCTCCCCCAGCATGCCACCCACAACAGGTGGCTAAACTTCCTGGGCACCTATGTACTTCTAGGTGAGGCTCCTTGTGGTGTAGATGGGTGAGGTTCCTTGAGGTGTAGAGGGGTGAGGTTCCTTGGGGTGTAGATGGGTGAGGTTCCTTGAGGTGTAGAGGGGTGAGGTTCCTTGGGGTGTAGAGGGGTGAGGATCCTTGAGGTGTAGAGGGGTGAGGTTCCTTGGGGTGTAGAGGGGTGAGGTTCCTTGGGGTGTAGTAGAGTGGGTGAGGTTCCTTGGGGTGTAGAGGGGTGAGGTTCCTTGGGGTGTAGAGGGGTGAGGTTCCTTGGGGTGTAGAGGGGTGAGGATCCTTGAGGTGTAGAGGGGTGAGGTTCCTTGGGGTGTAGAGGGGTGAGGTTCCTTGGGGTGTAGAGTGGGTGAGGTTCCTTGGGGTGTAGAGGGGTGAGGTTCCTTGGGGTGTAGAGGGGTGAGATTCCTTGGGGTGTAGAGGGGTGAGGTTCCTTGGGCTGTAGAGGGGGTGAGGTTCCTTGGGGTATAGAGGGGGGTGAGGTTCCTTGGGGTGTAGAGGGGTGAGGTTCCTTGGGCTGTAGATGGGTGAGGTTCCTTGGGGTGTAGAGGGGGTGAGGTTCCTTGGGGTGTAGAGGGGTGAGGTTCCTTGGAGTGTAGAAGGGTGAGGTTCCTTGGGGTGTAGAGGGGGTGAGGATCCTTGAGGTGTAGAGGGGTGAGGTTCCTTGGGGTGTAGAGGGGTGAGGTTCCTTGGGGTGTAGAGTGGGTGAGGTTCCTTGGGGTGTAGAAGGGTGAGGTTCCTTGGGGTGTAGAGGGGGTGAGGTTCCTTGGGGTGTAGAGTGGGTGAGGTTCCTTGGGGTGTAGAGGGGTGAGGTTCCTTGGGGTGTAGAGGGGTGAGATTCCTTGGGGTGTAGAGGGGTGAGGTTCCTTGGGGTGTAGAGGGGTGAGGTTCCTTGGGCTGTAGAGGGGGTGAGGTTCCTTGGGGTATAGAGGGGGGTGAGGTTCCTTGAGGTGTAGAGGGGTGAGGTTCCTTGGAGTGTAGAAGGGTGAGGTTCCTTGGGGTGTAGAGGGGGTGAGGTTCCTTGGGGTGTAGAGGGGGTGAGGTTCCTTGGGGTGTAGAGGGGGTGAGGTTCCTTGGAGTGTAGAGGAGGTGAGGTTCCTTGGGGTGTAGAGGGGGTGAGGTTCCTTGGGGTGTAGAGGGGGTGAGGTTCCTTGGGGTGTAGAGGGGTGAGGTTCCTTGGAGTGTAGAAGGGTGAGGTTCCTTGGGGTGTAGAGGGGGTGAGGTTCCTTGGAGTGTAGAGGAGGTGAGGTTCCTTGGGGTGTAGAGGGGGTGAGGTTCCTTGGGGTGTAGAGGGGGTGAGGTTCCTTGGGGTGTAGAGGGGGTGAGGTTCCTTTAGGTGTAGAGGGGGTGAGGTTCCTTGGGGTGTAGAGGGGGTGAGGTTCCTTGGGGTGTAGAGGGGTGAGGTTCCTTGGAGTGTAGAAGGGTGAGGTTCCTTGGGGTGTAGAGGGGGTGAGGTTCCTTGGGGTGTAGAAGGGTGAGGTTCCTTGGGGTGTAGAGGGGGTGAGGTTCCTTGGGGTGTAGAGGGGGTGAGGTTCCTTGGAGTGTAGAAGGGTGAGGTTCCTTGGGGTGTAGAGGGGGTGAGGTTCCTTGGGGTGTAGAGGGGGTGAGGTTCCTTGGGGTGTAGAGGGGGTGAGGTTCCTTGGGGTGTAGAGGGGGTGAGGTTCCTTGGGGTGTAGAGGGGGTGAGGTTCCTTGGGGTGTAGAGGGGGTGAGGTTCCTTGGGGTGTAGAGGGGGTGAGGTTCCTTGGAGTGTAGAGGGGGTGAGGTTCCTTGGGGTGTAGAGGGGGTGAGGTTCCTTGGGGTGTAGAGGGGGTGAGGTTCCTTGGAGTGTAGAGGGGGTGAGGTTCCTTGGGGTGTAGAGGGGGTGAGGTTCCTTGGGGTGTAGAGGGGGTGAGGTTCCTTGGGGTGTAGAGGGGGTGAGGTTCCTTGGGGTGTAGAGGGGGTGAGGTTCCTTGGGGTGTAGAGGGGGTGAGGTTCCTTGGAGTGTAGAAGGGTGAGGTTCCTTGGGGTGTAGAAGGGTGAGGTTCCTTGGGGTGTAGAGGGGGTGAGGTTCCTTGGAGTGTAGAAGGGTGAGGTTCCTTGGGGTGTAGAGGGGGTGAGGTTCCTTGGGGTGTAGAGGGGTGAGGTTCCTTGGGGTGTTTCTCCTCCATGACTTCTCTAAAGTACTGTTCAGACAAATTAATTCCCAAACACCCGTTAATGTGGTCATGTTCGTCACTGTCTATGATCTTTTGTAATGTTTTGTTGACATATGATAGAGGTGTTGTTTTAAGCGTAGGTTACACTGGCTCTGGACCCACTCTCATATTTGACTATTCAAGCTGTTTCTAGTTCATTGCAGAGCCTCTATTGTAACATGTTATATGGTCAATTGATTCCTAGGAAACCTTTAGGGGCGCCCCGCGGCGCGGTCGAGGACCGGGCCGCAGGGACACTAAGCCCCGAAATCATCTCGAGATAACCTCAAGAAACCCTTATCTCACAGCATCTGGACCTTGGTCATCTCTGGAGACGACGTGTCCTGATTGATGTAGCTTACCAGCAGTTATCTCTGAACAGCCTCGTTGGGGTCGACTGATGCTTCCTGGTAACTCAAGTACACGCTGGAACCACGCAGGGGGGGGGGGGCAGGGGAGCAGGGGAGCAAAGGGGTTCTGGTGAAGGCAGGGGGGTGGTGGGGGGGGGGGTCAGAGGGTGGTGGTTGGCCCTGGCCTCGAAAGACGTCGAGCAACAACGTCACAAGTTCACTACCACGACCCCGTTGCTCGGTGCACTCCCCCCCCCCTCCCCTCTCCAACACAGCTGACGCCCCCAACCCCTCCACCACAACCATCTAGCCCCTGTGGTAACCCCCGTCCCCTATCTCCTCCCCCTCTCCCTAGCACAGAGGGGCTCCCTTAATTTTTACACCCTTATGTTTAAGCTCCACATTCCCCCATACTATCCTCACTGCTGCCCCCTCTCCTAGCCCCGTGGCCCCCACGCATCCCCCTCTCTATCCCCCCTCTAACCCAAGCCACCTGCTGCCGCGCTCCTAAAACTATCTTGCCAAATATGCCTCGCCTTCCGTGGCTATCTTGTTGTGGCTGACCAGAGGGACAAGATCCTCCGTGTCGACAAGGAATACAGAAAGCCCGACTCTTTCTTGGGGTACACAAACATATTCGTCAACACCTTGAGCAGTGAGTGTAGTGGTGGTGTAACCTCACCTCCACTTGCCTAACCAAATGCATCTCTGTGGACTCCTGTTGGTTACACGGAGGGCCAAGTAGCGTTCTGTTGTCGTTCTTCTTGGTTACAAAATGATTTGGCAAATTTGGCTTTTATTGTCACCAGGTTCAGGAATATCCCTGCAAAAAAAAAAAAAAAATTGTCACCAGACACTTGGCCTAGCCAAAGGTTATGTACGTGTGTGTGTGTGTACTTTCCCAGTTGCCTAGTTGCAACTCTTTCTCACACATGCTTATAGTCACTATTGGCTTATTAATAAGTGCATATGTGGCATACTAATTTATTGTGAATATTTGAGTTTACCTTGAAACGCTGAATAGAAAACACCGACCAAACCTAACCTTCTTAGTATGTTAAGATTAGCATCTTATTGCTTCTTAATTAGAATTAGTACTTAACCTATACCTATATTGATAATACAGTTTTATAACAATAATAAAACAAAACCAAAATATTTAAATAAATTGTAAAGTAACTCAGAATATTGTCAAATATTGTATAAAATTTCTATTGTTTAATGAAACTGAAAAAGAAATTCCAAGTATTAAAACTGGTATTTAAGAAATCTATGGGTAGAGTTTATATATACATTAAAAACAAAATACAAATTAACATATACTACATATGTACTTATTAATCAGCCAAATAGTAACTATAAGCAATAAGTCATATATGTACTGTCTTGTGGGAGAGCGGGTTGCAACTTGTGCTTGCGGGGGTTGAGCTCTGGCTCTTTGGTCCCGCCTCTCAACTGTCAATCAACTAATGTACAGGTTCCATCAACTAATGTGTTTGTGTGTGCGTTTACCTAATAGTACTTTTCCAACAGATTCCAAGGTTGAGATCTAGCTCATGGCCCCGCTGCTATCGGTTCACTGTCACATTGCTTTTAAAACTATGGATAGAGACACCTACCATTTCTCTCCCCCAGTTCACTTGCTTACTAGCCTTACATCCCTGTGGCTAGCCCGGTGGGTCTAGCCTCCGTGCGTGTGTCGTCTCGTTATGTTACTGATTAACCCAAACATTCTCACGCGTTCACAGATTTATCTGTATATTTTGTATCTCTTGATCATGTTCCTCTATTTCTCTTTTTTTCCAGTACAGTTAAGTTATTAAAGCATTCACCTTACCTGGTAGCTCAGTTCCCTCTGTTCGGGGACCAGTTGTGTAGCAAACCTCTGTACTTTCTCT